AGAGAGAGAGAGATTTAAAAATACATTTTGTTGAGAGTGACGACTAGCCTATTAATATGTAGCTCAAATTCTGCATGCATGTTACAGTGCATAATAAACACCAAAATGAGATGATATTTTGTCTGGTAAACTCTGATAAAATCATTAACAGACATGTTGACCAAGACATCTTATTATTATTATTATTATTTTTTTATTATTATTATTTTTTTAATGAATTTTAAAGACTATACTCTTTATTTTTATTTTTGTGATATGGACCTATGGGTCTGACATAAATAAATAAATAATAATAAAATAATAACAAACAATAAATTATAAAAAATAAAAACACACAATAATAACATTACATTTATATAGCGGTTTTCTAAGCACTCAAAGCGCTTTACATTGTGAGGCGGAATCTCCTCATCCACCAGTGTGCAGCATCCACCTGGATGATGTAGTGATTAAATACTATTTTTCAATAACAAAACCTTCCCAAGCTGTCATCTCACTCTTATGGTCATTCTGACACAATGAGAATGCTATGAGTTCATGCTTATGGGGCTTTTATTTTGTAAAGATAAAACAAGTTCTTATTAGCAAGAATAGAATTGTAGATCTCGGTAAATGGATTTCTTACTAGTAAGAATTTAATTGAGAGCTCTGTAATTGCATTTTTACTAGTAAGAACTGAATTAGAGAGCTCTCTAATTGGCATTGTTATAGAAATCCCTTTCATTTCCAAAAAAATCTAACTATCTGAAAGTGGAACGCCATCTCCCCTCGAAATTCCCTGTAATCCAGCGATTTGCATTTTTGAAACATTTATGAGTATGATAATTCAGTTACAGTATTGTTGGCATACTGGCATATTGAATTATCTCAACTGTACCTGACAGGACTGTGGTTTTCCATATCTCAGCTCCGTTAGTGTGCCTTGTAAGCACACTATATGGAAGTTATTTTCCCAAAAGACTGTGTGCATCCTGTACAATCTCTTGAATGGGACGTGGCTCACATTTATCATCCAGAATGTTGTTGATATGATAATCATTATTGCCGACTACTACATAAAGTTTACCTTTCTTCACTGTGGCTCTCTCGTGTAGTACTGACATCTTACTGTTGGCCCCAGCAAGTGCATGTTCAGCTGTAGAAAGAAATAGAAAGTAAGAGCAACCATGAGACTTAAATGGAATGGTTTAGATTCAGTGCAAGTTAAGTTCAATAGATATGTAAAATACTCACAGGGTGGTGCCAGGTGAATCACATAACCTTCACCAACATAAACAGCCCAGTGCTGGTATTATACAACACTAAGGGTCTTCCTAAAACAGTTTGCGCTCTACGATCCATGCATTGAACAAGGTATTCATTTCATGAGACAGTGCACTATTCGACCAATCAGATACATTCAGTGCGAATAGACACGCCCTTATAAGTGGTCTTGGTGTTCTCCTGAAACCATTTAAAATATATTTAAAATTTTATTGACGTTTATTCACATTATTTTTATCTAGAAGACTACTTTTTGTACAGACTGCTGTGAGTGGACCAGCTGGCAACTTTTCCAATGTTGGAAAAGCAGTTGTTATAAAATTCATGCACCTGTTGGGAACTGTATCAATGGGCACGCAATATATTATTGACCTCATAAATAAGCAATAAGATGTGTTTGTCTCTCAGGCGGATCATGAGAAACTCCTGGAGCGCAGAATGACTCTGAGAGAGACTCACGAGAGACTGATCGAGAACGAACTGATGAAGATGGAGAGAGAATTACAGGAGGAGCAGGTGAGAGCGGCAGACACATGAGAAATAACAGAAATCAACAGATATAAATATGTGTGCCTTAAGCTTATTGTGTTTTCAAAGGGGTCATGAACTGCCTTTGTTTTTTATTTTGTACTATTCTCTGAGGTCCACTTATAATTTACATTAAAAAAACATCATAATTTAGAAGTAATAGGCTTTTTTAGTAATTTAGGGTTTTTAACCCCCCTCATCATAACACTCTGTTTGAATAGGCGTGGCCTACACTCGGAAGTAAACGACGTCTATGATTGGCTAATAGTGGTGTATATTTGACAGCCTACATCATCCTACACAGATGGACGCTGCTGTGATTTATGTTAAAAACTCATAAATACTCAGTACATATCAAATGATCTGTAAGAAGAGACAAAGCAATAGTGATAACGTAATAAAAGCAGTTACTCACACTTGTGTTGCGACATTACTGTCTGATCCAATATAGTCGACACAGCATCTCTTTTAGTTTTAATCTTTCTGAAAATCTCGTGCCTTGTTTGTAAACGAATCCACGGTAAAATGAAGTGAACAAAAAACTAAGTTCTAATTAAGTTCATCAGTTTATCGTTTGGTTTCAGTGTAGACATGCGTTTGCCACTCTTGTCATTTGCCATTCATGTCATTCACTACATGTGCGAATCGGTGGGCGGGGCTAAACAGGCAGTGATATAGAATCGGTGGGCGGGGCTAAACAGGCAGTGAT